TTTCAGCGGCTCCTTCCTCTGAAGTGGGGAGCCAAGTCCTTCTTTGCAGTTGTTCTGAGTCTGGGCGCTCCACTGAAACCTGTTCCCTTTGGGTGGGGGCACCCAAATCAATACGGGTCAGCCTTCTGGTCCGTTGCTTCAGCCTCCTACCCATGCCCTCCCTCTCTCAGAAACTGTCAGTCTCTTCCCGTTGGTGTCCAGCCATCGTCTTCGTTCAACTTACAGTACATTGAGATCACTATGTGATCGGCAGGAAGATGCCCCACGGCACGGACTGGCAGAATGGCTGCAACCAAGGGCTCACCCGTAGTAACAGACGCGAAAGCTGGCGAGACTAGCGATACGTCTTTCTGTTGTACACAGGGCCCCGAGGAAGTGGGACCAGGGAGAAGCTTCTCTGTTCGTCTGTAATTAACATGGTTCACTTCTCCGGAAGCGCCCCCCCCCCTCCAATCCCTTCCCCACGCACACTTCAGTCCCAAACAGGACATTAACAGGTATTAAACTTTTAAGAATTCCGGGACACGGTGACTTTCAATTTCATAATACATCTATCATCAACAAATGAATTTTAAAAAATCATCGTTTTCCCGAAAGACCTCCCTACCATACCTACCCCGTTTCTTTTTGCCCCTTTCCCCCTCCACCCTCTCTGTGAGTGTACTCTCACTCATGATCAATACACCAGGGGCTCTCCTTAAGTAGAACTTTCTCTTTTATGATTTCCATAGCCCACTCAACTCTAAATTTAACTAACATCCTATTCAGATACTTATTCCTGCCAGCATGAGCCAGGAGCCTCTTAAGGATGTAGACTCCCCAGCCCCATCCTACAGCTGCCGAATCAAGTCCTCATTTTAACAGGCCTCCCAAGCTGTCCACGTGGACATCAGCATGAGAAGCAGTCACCGATGCACGGTGATTCAGGGGATGACACTCTATCAAGAGATGCCTTTAAACTTCTACAACCAATCTCCAGGTCTAGGCCTTCTGTATCTTCCTTCCTTCAATTGTTCCTAAGAAGCTCCTGTCTGATGTCATTTTATCTCGGCTTTCACTCCCAGATGTACGGGCACCGGATCTGCTGGGTGCCTGTCTGTGGCTGTCCACTGGCCCCCGATGCCCATAGGAGTCAGCACGGCTCCGAGTCACCTGCTGTCCTTGCTTCCTCTAACCTGCCCCGTCCTGCGCCATCTTCACAATGGTTATGTTGAGCCCATTGTTACAACTGTTGTGTTGTTCGATTTCATCCAGGATCTCTCTCTCTTTCGCTTCCCTACTCCGTTAGCACGCACGATGCCCTGTTCCAGAGTCGGGCCTTTTCTGATAACATGTCCAAATTAAGGGACGCGAAGCTTCATCATTGCTTCTAAGGTTGTACTTCGTCCCAGACTGATCTGTTTGCTCTTTTGGCGGTCCACGGTACTTTCAGAA